CTCCAGTCTTCAGTGTCACATGATCTTCAGAAATCAGTATAATATGCTGATCTGCTGCTCAAGAAACATTTCTGATTATTATTAATATTATTAATATTTAAAACAGTTGAATACATTTTTTCAGAATTCTTTGATGAATAGAAAGATCCAAAGATCAGCATTTATCTGAAATTAAAAGCTTTTGTAACATTATACACTATACCATTCAAAAGCTTGGAGTCAGTATATATATTTTTTTTTGGGGGGGGGGAAGAAATTATAGAATGCTTTAAATTGATCAAAAGTGATGATAAAGACATTTATAATGTTACAACAGATTTCTATTTCAGATAAATGCTGCTCTTCTGAACTTTCTATTCATCAAAGAAACCTGAAAAAATTCTACTCGGCTGTTTTCAACATTGATAATAATCAGAAATGTTTCTTGAGCAGCAGATCAGCATATTATACTGATTTCTGAAGATCATGTGACACTGAAGACTGGAGGAATGATGCTGAAAATACAGCTGCACATCACAGAAATACATTACAGTTTAACAGATATTCACATAGAAAACACTTATTTTAAATAGTAAAAATATTTCACAATATTACTGCTTTTGCTGTATTTCTGATCAAATAAATGCATGCTTGGTGAGCAGAAGAGACTTCTTTAAAAAACATTAAAAATCTTACTGTTCAAAAACTTTTGACTGATATTTGAGCTTCTTCTAAGTCTAGTAGGTTATCCAGATGTGTGCTGTTTTCCTTCACTATCTTCTACAATTTATGCAAGTTTAAAAAAATACATTATTTAATTCTATTCTAAAATCTATTTAAAAGTAGATTTTGTACATAAGGTGATCTTATATTTATTTACAAAATTCATTTAAAGCATTTGATTCAGTCACCTGTGTGTGTCCAAACCTTTGAGATTGATAGGATAGGAAACTTCCAATAGACGGATTGCAGATGAGCAAACACTCTAAAAAATAGGCTACGTCTTGCAGATGTAATGCAGACGTCAAATAGACGTCTCCGTGATGTACAGGTGCTGTTAGGGTGCCTATCTATATCTCTCTACCATTCTATCGCTCTGTCTGTCAGTGTTTATCAGTGTGGATGTGGATTAGCTGTCAAACATGCGCACAGCATCCTCAGGTCGTCAAAGCTCATTATATAAGACGAATCCTCGGGTCTCCTTTCTGTTCAAACTAACCTCCCCCTCCAGTCCCGGATGAAATCAAATCCATTTGATGCTGACACTCTGTTTATGCCCTGCTTGCTGGAAAATCATAAATAATGTGCCATCTTTAGATGCAGAGCTGATGCAATTGTTTTTAATCTCTGCGTAATCTCCTTAAAACACGTGTTTTTATCGTTCATTAATAAAATCTGACATGCATAATGACAGATAAATGCAAAACACGTATTGTGCATGCAATGAATATTTATAATATGTATAATTTATAATATTACTATTTATATGCACATACAACACAATGAATGAGATGAACGCTCAAAATGCATTTAGGCTACTTACATAATCCAATGTAGGCATAATAGAACAAAAGCCTCCTATTTTGTATTTAAAGAGGTTGATTATTTCTTCCGGGTGTCCTAGAGACTTGAGGATGTCCATTTTCGCCCGTGTGTTTATGAGGACGCTGTTCTTAACAGGTGAGCTGAAATCCACGCGCTGCAATTTCCATTCAAACTCTATAGAGATCCAGTACAGCATCAGACAATCCCTCACTCACACGATCGACTGACTCCTCTGATTGGCTGAGGGGTCATGGGCTTAGAGCGCATCGACCAATGAGCGGCGAGAGCGACTGGCGTGACGGCCCGCCCAGTAACCAGTGCGATGTGCTGATTGGTCAGAGGGAGTTGAAGAATTAAAATAATTATCTGTATTGCTTATAACATTAACATGGTTTTATATAATATATAACCACAGTAATTAAACACTATTCTTGTGCATAATGTGTATTGCTCAGGAATATTTTATATCGCGTTTCAATACAATAACAATAGAATGGCATTCAAGAACACATTGTTATTTACAATAATAATTACTCTACATGTGCATAAACATCTTCTAAACGTCTGTTTGACATCTGAAAGGTATTGCAGATGAGCAAACACTCTAAAAAACACGTCTTGCAGATGTAAATGCAGACGTCAAAAATTATAACGATAATTATCGTTCACGATAATCATCACGATAACGATATAATAGTTCTAAATGTAAAAGAATAGCACACCACAACTACAACGATAACAGCACAGAGATAGCCTGTAACTGGACTTTCAGAATTATTTTTCTCTCAGCTGATTAAGGATAACACATTGACAGCCAATCAGAATCCATCCTGTAAACGTTCTTGAAAGCGGCCGACGACAAAAAATAATGCGTTTAAAATAGACAGAACGTCACTGTGCGCTAATATAAAAATGACCGTGAATTTAACGGTAAAAGACTGTAAAAATGTTACAGTAAAAACCTGTTAAATGGTTAACGGTAAATTCCCCTACTATATACGGTGAAAAACTGTATTGGACATTACATGTATTGGACATTAATTTTACGGTAGTACACCGTTTTTGGAAGTGAAAAAGACCGTATAATTTACAGTGAATAACCGTAAACTGACATTCCCAGAATTCCCTGCGTTACATTTCAAATGTGATGTTTTTTTTTTTAAATAACTATTTCTTCTTAGCTTTTCTTATCAGTTTTGTATATTAGGGTTGTGTGTTACACCTAATGTTGTTAAATTAATGTTTATTGCATTATTTCAGTGTCATGTGTGTTACCGTGAAGGTTTTTAGTGTTTGTGTGAACAACACTTTGCACCTTCTATATATGTTATTATCTAAAAGCTGCTTGTGATGGGCTTTAGTTCATCATGTGACTTTCTCATCACCTCCTGCATTTGGTGGTTATCAGTGTATTACAAAGATACAAAACAGATTTCAGTACTTCAATAGGTTGGTATATTAACATTATATCAGTTAATGAAATTACGGTATTTAACTGTAAATTAAAGTTAAAACCGTAAAACCGTAAAACCTAAAACGTTGCTACCGTATTTTTTACGGTAAAATTCCGGGCAACCACAGCTGCCGTTTTTTTACTGTAAATTTTACCGGAATTTTTTTTACAGCGAATTATCATTATAGCTATCGTTCCTAGTGTGAACGGGCCTTTAGTCTTTGACAAATAAAAATGATTTGGGCATTTATTAGTTTTTAACTGTTAAACTATTATTTGACTTTATTATTAAACAGATTTGCGTTTAAAGACACGGAAACTCTAGTTGAATCTAAAATGACAAGCAGTTTAATCTAATTTTCACATAGATGTTGTGTAGCACAACAACAGCTAAACATGGAGTGCGTACATACAGTTATATACATTTATAATATTATAGAATGCTGCTGCAAGAAAAGAATTACATGTGCATTTTCTATTTTTCTTTACAGGTTAATGAGAAATGCTAACAATGTTTAATCTATAATGAGAGATCACACGTTCAAAGTGACTTTACAAGCAGTCTGACATCTCTCCAGTCGGAAAGACAAACTGCAACCCTGTTTTCTTTATAGAAATAAATATAAGAAGGTTTAAAAATCAGATACAATTATAGGAGCTCAGCTGCAGTGAAGGGGGTTTCTTTAATTTGTTTTAGATTTGAAAAGGAAGTCAAATTTGTGGTGAGGGTTATTTTTTTTTAAGTTTCAAGGAAGTGGCTTTAGTGGCCTAATGCTGGTGTGTCTGGCTGCTAATGCAAAGGTTTCAGGTCGACTCAACAGTCTTGACAACAGATGCCATCACAAATTAACACCTACATCTTCTTTGTGAACAAAACACAAAGGTTTGAGTCAAATGTGAGCAGGATGAACACATTGCAAGTTCTTTGAAATATATCTGCTCACAGACATGTTCATCATGACAATAAAAAAGAAAATAAAGTTCCCTGCAGATATTAGTGTGAAGGGAAAGAGAGAATTGTCCATTAAAATTCAGCGGGAGTGCTTGGAGCTTCATTTAAAAATTGTATCTGAAGAGTTCCGTTTTTAAAAAAGGTCGCAACAAACCGCAACAATTACTTCATCTTCTTGAGAAAAGTGTTGTGTTTGCCTGTGCAAAACTTTGTTTAAAGGAATAGTTCACCCAAAAATGAAAAGCTGCTGAAATTTTCTCCCCCTCAGAGCATCCGAGATGCAGATGAGTTTGTGTCTTCATCAGATTTGGAGAAATTGCATCAGTGTATCACTGCAAGTGAATGGGTGCCGTCAGAGTGAGAGTCCAAACAGCTGATAAAAACATCACACTCTGAGCACTCCAGTCCATCAGTGAACATCTGGAGAAGACAAAAGCAGCTGAAACAAATCCAGCATTAAGATGTTTTTAACTAAAACACATAGAGTCCATAATCCATAATAACGCTTCCTCCAGTGAAAAAGTGCATCTGCTGTTGTCTCTCGCATCAAAATCCAGCCACATATATGTTTAGAGCTGTTTAAATGGTGCTTGATCTGTGCAGATTTCTTTCCTGATTCACACCAGAACACTTTTTCACTGAAAGAAGCGTTGTTATGGATTATGGACTCTATGTATTTTAGTTAAAAGCGTCTTAATGCTGGATTTGTTTCAGCTTTTGTCTTCTCCAGATGTTATCTGATGGACTGGAGTGCTGTGGATTATTGTGATGTTTTTATCAGCTGTTTGGACTCTCATTCTGACGGCACCCATTCACTTGCAGTGAGACACTGATGCAATTTCTCCAAATCTGATGAAGAAACAAACTCATCTACATCTCGGATGAAGCAAATGCTTTAACACGTTTATCTATGGCAACTGAATGCCACTCAAAGGGTTTAAAATGAATGAAACCAACGTCTGAAAGATGAGTAAAGTACATCAGGCTGTGATCTTGAACATTCAGGTTATATAATGTTCTCATGGTCTTTGGTTCGTGCGATTCGCAGCACATTTATAATCAGCTCCAGGGTTTTCTGCTTCTGATCAACAGCTGATCTGTTGATGTGAATCCAGCACAGCGTTCGGGTCCCACTTCATTTCATTTGAAGCTTGTTGGTTCTGGCACCAGATAGACCAGATCTTCTGGTCTCAGACGAGGTTCTGCAGGCCGGCTCTGAGCTCTACAGGGAGTGACGCTTTCAGCAGGAGGATCTCGGTTTCTTATGCCAGAATCAGGCTGTTCCACACTTCACTTTTGGAGCTGGAAGATCCACTTGGAGAAAGTTTGAGAGCAGAACTTGAGCTCGGAGTTCCCATATAAGACGGAAAGGCAGAGACCTGGATGGACAAAGGAAAGACTTTGTGTTGCTTGGGATCAATCACTTGTGCTGGAGTTTTAGTCATAAGAATTACTTTAGACAAAAGCATTTAATAAATGAATAACTGTAAATAAACATGGACATTTAGTTTTCTACACTGAGATTTTAAATGAAAAAAACTTAAATATTATGAATTTTAATTTAAATAAAATGTAATACATATACTGTAATTATATTTATTATTATTATTATTATTTATTATAATGTAAGTATTATATTTAATGTTACAATTGTTATTTATGCATATATTATGTTTATAAATATTATAAATAACAATTGTAACTATATATATATATATATACATATAGTTTTTCAGGTTTTTCAATAGCTCTTTAAATTAATATGGACTCGAAAACTGTTAAATATATTAAATATATTAAATATTTTACTTAATATTTATAATATTTATAAATAAAAAGATATATATATATATTAATTGAATTGAATACAAATATTTACTTATATATATGCACTCTTTAAAAGAATATGAACTCATAAACTGCACAATAATTATAAAAGAAATGAAACGCTGCCTGAATATGTGATTATATATAAAATATTTAATATATTTAATATTACTATTTATAATATGTATAATTTGTAATATTACTATTTATAATATTTAATAATACCAATTATATGTAATTTGCAACTCTTGTAACTACTTAATTAATATTAACTTCATGTAAATAATAATAATAAATAATAATTATAAAAGAGAAAAAATGCTGCCTAAAAATATGTATTATATTGCATATTTAAACTAATATTTAGATTTATATATACAAATTATGTATATTTAAATAGTACTATTAATTAATTTATAAATTAAATTAAATAAATATGCATACATACATATATATTGTATTATATTTCAGTTACTGTTTATAATATTATTATTTCTAAAACGGCAGTATTTAGTTTTCTGACCGGTGTGTTCATGTTGTGGTGTGTGTAGATTGACGCCGTGTCTGGCTCCGTCTTTATGGGCCGCGGCTCATCTGTGGGACTGGCCTGCGTCTGACCCTCAGATGACCCTACAAATCACACACAGGTCAAAGGTCACAATCACTGATTCCTTGACATACTATCGAGAGTGAGATGAATGAGAAGAGTTTTCTGTTGCATGCAGTGGTCAGTATCTGCACTCACCAGGTTTGGACTTGCTGATATTTTTTGGTTTGCGTTTGCGGGTCTGAATTCCCTCTTTCTTCATGGCCAGAGGACGAGGAACCTGAACAGAAGAGCAGACACTCATTCTCTGACTCCATCTGCTGCTCACACATGTTACTACAGTGTTTTGGGCACAAAAACTGTACAAACTGTCTGCCTCACCCCGTGGAGTTTCATGTAGAGTCCGCAGGCGTTGCAGACCGGCTCTCCTTCTGCATTACGTCTCCAGAGAGTGGTTGTGGTCGTCTGACAGTTAGTGCAGGACAAACCAACCCGTCTGGACGCAGACTGAGCGACAGACAGAAACCAGCAGGTTAGTGATAGTCTACAAATATGAGTCAAACCTTCAAAACACTTCAATAATAAAAAATAAAGCAAAACAAGAAAACTTGCTGGAATCACTGAAAACATTGCAATAATTAAAAAAAAAATTGAAATGCAATAATAAAAAAAATTATAAATACTGTATGAATACAATGTAATGCAAAATAAAAAATGCACTTGCTGCAAACAATGAAAAAAGTGCACAAAAAACTGCAATAATAAAGAAAAAAAGATCTAAATAAACTTAAATCATAAAAAATTCATGCAAAATAAAAAATAAACTTGTTGCAAACACTGAAATAATCAAAAACAGTGCAAATTAAAAAATTGCTGCAAACACGGAAAATAATGAAATAATAAATGCAATAATAGAAATGTTTCAATTATAAAAATAGAAAAAAAAACTCTGCAATAATAAAAATATAAAAACAACACAGAAATAACCTTGCAATAATAAAAAGTAATGGAAAATTAATAAAATAAACACTGCAATAATAGAAAAGTAATGCAAAAAAAAGTTTTTAATATATAAAATATAAATATATAATGTTTCAATAATAAGAACAGTGCAAAAAAATAACCCTGCAATAGTAAAAAAGTGCAAAAAAAACAAACAATGAATAAGGTTGAAGCAAAGTTCTCACATGCTCCAAATGATGTAATTTTATACCGCTTATTAATTATGATAGATCAACAACATAAAAAACGTGAGTTTAATGAACTGTACTGTATTATACTATTACTTGTACGATTCTTATTTATTATACATGCATAGACTGTAAGGTTGAAATAGAAAAATATCGGAGTATTTTCACGTGAGTGCTGCTGGTGAAACGCACCAGTCGTCTCTGCGGTTTAATGATCGGCCGGTTGATCCCGTTCATCTTGTGGTAGAGACCGCAGGCGTTACACAGGTAATGACCCGTCCCGTCCCGCCGCCACAGAGGAGTGGACATCGCCCCGCAGTTCACACACTCACGACCCTCAGAGAAATCCTCCAGCAGCTCTGAGGAGAGACGGACAGACAAACACACTCACACATATTAACATTCAAACAAAACCACAGACCTGCACTCTTACACTGAAAATCAGTCCACATCAGGCCTGCACTGTGCTCACTGGAGAACATTTACATCTCACAAAGACCTTTCTATTCTGTAGTTCTGTAGAAAAGCATCTATGTTCTGGTGCTTTAAAATGCTGATCTAGTTAGTCTAGTTAGTCAGATTTTTTCAGCATTGAAAAATAAGTTGTTAAACTTGTGTTGCCAAAGCATTTGCAACTTGCTGCAAACACTAAAAAAGACTGCAATGATTAAAAAAAGTGCTAAATATAAAATAGAAATATGCACTGCAATAATAAAAATAGTGCAAAGTAAAAATAAACTTTCTGCAAACCCTGAAAAGACTGCAATAATATATAATAGTGTAAAAAATGAAAAGTGCAAAATAAAATAAATAAATAAACACTGCAATAAAGAAATAATAATAGACTTGCTGCAAACACTGAAAAGACTGCAATAATAAAATAGTGCAAAATAAAAGAAAAATAAATGCTGCAATAATAAAATTATAAATATAATCAATGCAATAATAAAGAATAATGCAAAACAAAAAACATACTTTCTGCAAACACAATAAAAATAGTGCAAAATAAAAAAGAAATGAACACTGCAATAATAAAAAAATTATGCAAAAGAAAAAATTAACTTTCTGCAAATACTGAAAAGACTGCGATAATAAAACTACGCAAAAGAAAAATAAATACTACAATGCAGTGGAAAATAAAAATAGATAAATATAATCAATGCAATAATAAAAAAGTGCAAAATAATAAAAAATAAACACACACCGTGATACAAATTACGCAAAATATAAAATAAACTTTCTGTGAACACCGAAAAGACTGCAATAATAAAAAATTAAAATAAACACTGCAATAATAAAAAGTGCAAAATATAGATAATCAATGCAATAATAAAAAAAAGTGAAAAATAAAGAAAAGTAATACTGCAATAAAAATAGTGCAATAGTGATGTTTCACATCACAGGAAGAGTCAGACATGTTTGACAGCAAAATGTGAAGTCTAGCTTTTGCTGAAGGCTCCTGATCAGCAGGAGGCGCTGTTGCTCATGCAGTGTGTGGAGGTCTGCGGTGTCTCTATCAGACAGCTTTATAAATGGAAACAGTTCTCCCTGAGGGGCCCTTAACTACACCACTGAGCGACGGACACTAATCATTCATCTCTCTCACTAAACCATTCTTCAGGCTTTCAAACCCCTTTAACAAGCTGCAAGCGTTCTGTCACATTCACTCAGCATCATAACTCATCTGTCACACATCAACAACCTTTCTGATCCTCTTCTTTCTGAACACAGATGAATCAGAGGATTATGATCTTCAAAGAGCTGAGACACACTGTTAGCTATCAGTGAACATTCGTTTTTATTGTGCAACTTTTTTAACATCATTTGTTATTATTCCAATGTTGCTTTATTTTGCAGTATTTTTTTTATTTTTATGATTTATTTAGCACTTTCTATTAGTGCAGCGTTTATTTTTATGATTTATTTTGCACTTTCTATTAGTGCAGCGTTTATTTTTATGATTTATTTTGCACTTTCTATTAGTGCAGCGTTTATTTTTATGATTTATTTTGCACTTTCTATTAGTGCAGCGTTTATTTTTATGATTTATTTTGCACTTTCTATTAGTGCAGCGTTTATTTTTATGATTTATTTTGCACTTTCTATTAGTGCAGTGTTTATTTTTATGATTTATTTTGCACTTTTTAATATTGCAGTGTTTATTTTTTATTTTGCACGAATATTTTATTATTGCAGTCTTTTCAGTTTTTTACAGCTTTTACAGCAAGTTTTACAACTTATTCTTCAATGCTAAAAAAATAGATTATTAAACACTATTAAAGATCGAATAATAAAACAGTGAAAAATAAATATATATATATATAAATGTAATAAATGCAATAATAATAGTGCAAAATAAAAAATAACACTACACACTGCAATAATAAAAAGAACTTTCTGCAAACACCAAAGAGACTGCAGTAATAAAATTAGAACAAAATAAAAAAATAAAAATAAACACTGCAATAATAAAAATAGTGCAAAATAAAAATAAATACTGCAATAATAAAGCAGTGAACAATGAAATAGATAAATATAATCAGTGCAGTATTTAAAAAGTGCAAAATAAAAAACACCCATTGCAATAATAAAAAACAATGCAAAATAATTTGCACACATTCTGCACACTGGACAGACTGCAATAATTAAATAACATGAATAGAATGTACATTCAGAGCTATCTGGTCTTTAATAATGTTTAAAAATGCACAAACACATTATTTATACACTGTTCGTGGAAGAGAACTTTCAAAAGTAACATTCCCATAATGTTAGCAAAGTTATCAAATGGAACGTTCCCTTAACGTTTGCATTTTAAAACATAAAAAAGAAAAAAAAAACTTCAGAGAACTTTCAGAAATAATGTTTTCAAAACGCAATGTTCTCAGAATGTTTGGCATCATACACATTGCTTATGGAATGTTTTTTTTTTTTCCTGAAACATTTTTTTAAATGTTACTTCTTGTTTCTGAACGTTCCGAGAACATTCAAAAGTAACGTTGCCATAATGTTTGCTCATTTATAAAATAGAATGTTCCCAGCTGTGTGAGAAATACAGTATTCCTTCTAATCACTTCTTTAGTTACCTTCAAATAAGAGCCTTTGTGAAGTCTAACGTTGCTCATTTTGTCACAGCTTCACCCATGTATCTGGACACATTTCTGGAAAGATGTCTTAGAGATGGTAGTACCGTCTCCTTGCTCTACAAGGGTTTAGAACAGGTGAAAAGTCCATCCATTGGGAATATTAAATCTGCCTGGGAAGAAGAACTTGCAGTAGAAATTCCTAGTGAAATTTGGGAACAAAGTCTTGAACTGGTCCACAGACGTTCCATTAATTCAAGACATTGTCTCATTCAGTTTAAAGTGCTTCATAGGCTTCATTATTCCAAGTGTAAATTGAATAAAATATTTCCAGAAGTGTCTCCACTGTGTGACAAATGTCAGTTTTTAGATTCCAGCCTGTCTCATTGCTATGTCTTGTGTCCCACATTACAGAGTTTCTGGGACAAAATATTCCAAGTTTTTACAGATACATTGGACATTCCTATCGAACCAGATCCTATATTAATTATATTTGGAGTTTCCGAAGAATTTTTGAGACTTACACGGGTACAACAACAGTTTGTTTCATATGGGTTGATCTCTGCCAAACAACTTATCCTTTTGTTTTGGAAGAAAAAAGAAGTTCCAACTCTTAAATTCTGGCTGACAGAGTTGACAGGTACACTACATCCGGAAAGAATCAGGTATACCCTAATAGACAAGATTTTGTTATTTGAAAAAATGTGGTCACCTTTTATTTCCTTTCTACAAACTTGTGATTAATAGGTTTATTATGCCTTCAGTACCTACTTTTACCACCGGACAGCACTTATGGGTTAAGTTTTTGGGTGGGGGGGAAATGAATTAAAAACAATTTTTTTTTTTTGTTGTTGTTTATTTATTATTTTCATGACTACTGTTTGTTTTTCATTTTCTTTTTTAATGTTTATTTGTTAAAATGTAAGTTTTATATGTTTGTATTTAAAAAATTCGCAGTTTTCAATCAAAAAAAAAAATCATTTTTGACTATTTATAATCGTGTTTGTCGATTTTAAAGTTTAAGCGACAGTAAAACATTCATATTAAACACGAGCAAAATGATTAGCAGTAAATGCACATGCCCTTTGATATAATTATTAATTGCTGCTGATAATAATATGATAATGCTAAAGCCAATCCAGTAATCTATTCAATATAACATCAGTTATTGACGGAATCAATCTTTAGATTACACTGCACGCGATGAAAGTTATTTAAAGTGACAGCTGCACATTTTCACACACACACACACACACACATATATATATATATATACAATAGTGTTGTATTGGACTATATTCAGATTCAGATCATAAAAAAAAAAAAAAAAAATTTTTGTTGTTGTTTATTTATTATTTTCATGACTACTGTTTGTTTTCATTTTCTTTTTTTAATGTTTATTTGTTAAAATGTAAGTTTTATATGTTTGTATTTAAAAAAGTGTAATTACAAGTGACTGTCTGCTAAAATTTCTGATAATAAAAATATTTAAACCATAAAATAGAATGTTCCCACAACGTTAGCACAACGTTCTCAGAACGTATTTTTGTAAGTGGCCTTTATTCCAGGCTGACAGCAGCTCTAACCTTGAGATTTCAACCCACACGAACAAAAACCTGCCAAGAGCCTCTGGAATCATTCAGCTCAGCTTCACGGGCAAATAACAGCTTGTTTGGGACAATCACTTCAGCGTCGATGACTAGAGGTCAAGCACACACCTTTACATGAGCCCCATTTGGAGAAATTCTCCTTTTTTGGGAAACTGCTTTTTTCTTAAATCTCTCTAGCTGCAAAACCTCCAAAAAATACAGAAAGACAGAAACCAAAATGAACTGAGGCTTCTTTCAGTCTCATGTTAAAGTCCATCTCTGGGTTCATGCATGACAGGCTATTAAAAGCACAAGATTCCTATCAGTTATTAGGTTTAATGAAAAACCTGCTTCTATAGTTTATTTGATTTCTCAGGCAAACATCATTTATCATGCACACAGATTTGTGATTGTCTCTCACTCTGAACGACACAATATAACAATAAAACGAAAGAAATGATGATCTTGATCTTGAAGAAATGCTGATCATACTAACAGTTCTTGATATAAATACTGACTGATTATCATTATTACACGAATTGGTCAGTTCACCCTCATCTAATTTTCATTGAATCTATTTAAATATACCATGTGGGTTAAAAGTGGCCTATAATAATTGAACATATGAACAGGATTAAAAAAAGTCAAATTAAACACATAAAACATAATCACACTTTCGATATAGCAATTCTTTAACAATCGTCAGAACGAATCTATTTTTTAATCTAACCCTTATTGATCCTTTAGATGTATTATGGCTAAAAATGACCAAATTAAATAGTTAAAATGAGTTATTTGACCCGAAACGTAATTTATTCGTTTTTCGTTTGGATTTGTGCATTTATTGAATGAAAGTATGGCTTACCCTTTGTGCAGTGAATTATATTATTCATTAATTATTGTCTTACTGATTTGTGCGACTATAATGCATGTTTTAAGTGTCTCTCGCAAGTAAAATTAATCATATACACGCCAGAAAATAAACAGAGCATACTTAAAAAATTATAATAAATAAATAAAAACTATCATAAGCGTTTGATTAATTTGCGTTTTTTAATGAAAGCACTTACTCTTCATGAAATGTAAACAAAAGTGAAACAACTTCACGTATTAAGGCTAAAAATAATATTTAGATTTTGCATGATTTATAATAGCGACATTATGTCTTAAAGTAAATATAAACGATCCCAAAAGAAGAAATACAATTTTTTCACCCCCTTTTCATTGTCTCGATTGTATCGAGTCTCGACCTTAAAGACACAAGACATAAAATAAATTCAGTTCTTATAGAAAATAATATTTATTTCGCAGTTTTCAATCAAAAAAAAAAATCATTTTTGACTATTTATAATCGTGTTTGTCGATTTTAAAGTTTAAGCGACAGTAAAACATTCATATTAAACACGAGCAAAATGATTAGCAGTAAATGCACATGCCCTTTGATATAATTATTAATTGCTGCTGATAATAATATGATAATGCTAAAGCCAATCCAGTAATCTATTCAATATAACATCAGTTATTGACGGAATCAATCTTTAGATTACACTGCACGCGATGAAAGTTATTTAAAGTGACAGCTGCACATTTTCACACACACACACACACACACATATATATATATACAATAGTGTTGTATTGGTCTATATTCAGATTCAGATCATATTTTTGCAGTATGTATTATGACAAACTCGATCAGAGTGAAATCATATAAATTCTCGGCTCACATACATTGATTATGTACAAAACTGGTTATTATAAACATGTCAACTCCGTAATCTTTCATTTAAAAAAAATTTGTTTTTAATCTCAGCTAAAATGTATAAGACCCAAATGATCAAAAGACAGCATATTTTCCAAAAGCTGCTGTTTATACCCATAAAAGCCCAAATTAAATGTAGATTTTACCATGTAAAGCAATTTTAGGTTACCTGACAAAACTGAATTATACTGAATTATAATTGTTATTCTGTACCGAAAATAGGCATAAATGTAAAAAAATAATAATATTTATTTTGTAGTTTTTCACTCACATGCTTACAAACGCAACGCAACCTTGACAAAACAACATAGGCCTACATTCTGTCTTTCTTTGACTATTTAATCAACAATGAAATACATTCACGGAAGGAGCAGGTAGAATTAGCAGTACATTTATAAGCGTTCAATCAAATGTAGGCCTATGTCTATTCTCATATCGGTTAATGAATCATAAGTTTTGTCGTGCAAATTCTCCTTTAAAGTTCGTAACACGTGCAACCCCAAATGCACATCAGGTTTTTTCCTAACCTAATGTTAAGATCTCAAATATCCCTTTTACCAAAAATGCATCACTGTAAAAAAAACATATTTTTCAAAGTTGCAAATAAATGATTGGAGTAAGTCTTTCTGCTTCAGAATGTCATGTTAATTCAATCTGTCTGCCGTTTCATTGTGATTATTTGTGAAAATGACTTGCAGTTTCGTTGCTATACCATTTTTTCAGTGAACTCTATTTTACTTTATTTATAATTGATCGATTCGGTTAAGAAAAAGAGTTCTCACCTAAATTCGGGTGTCGCGCGGCACCGGCCGCTCCTCCGCTCTGGAGGCCGTGCAGCACGGAGCTGTCGAAGTGCGACGCCGTCCAAGAGCCTCCGATGTTCGGACTCACGTAGGCCGGGTACCCGCTGTGATAGGATCCGCTCAGACCGCGGGTCCCGTAGTGCTCCCGCCCGCCAGCGGAGATGTTCAGCGGACTCGTGTAACTCGCAGTCTCTCGGGCCGTCGCGACCCCGGAGGTTAACGGAGGGCTCGTGGAGAACGTGAACCTGGAGACCGGAGAATGATGGTGCCCGCCGGTGGAGCTGTAAGAAGCGACCGTATCCGCGCCCGGCTGCGCCCATCCCGAGTGTCCGGACACCGGGCTGCTCTGCTGCGGCGTCTGGAGGTACGGCAGCGCCGGGATCATCGGGGTGACCCGAGTGGGCGTCACGTACACCGGCGAAGCGGCGTTATGGAGGAAACCGGGCTCGTAAGACGCGGGTCCGTGGTTCGTGGTCATCGTTACGCCTTGATACATGTCCATAGGTGACTCGTGAGGACCGGAGCATCGGCGTCGATCTTACCGGGCTGAGTTCACCCTGCGCCCGCCGGGAGCATTTTCTGCTTCACTTCACGGCAGAGGATGATGAGGGTGGATAGTCTCTCTGAAGTCTCTCCCAGCACTCCTCCCCGTCTCTCCGCCTCCAGTAAAGCGCATCTCATTCCTGCTCGGGTCACCGACCTCTTTACAGGAACACGATATTCCGATCATGTCTGCGCCATGCAAATAAACAACACACTATATTATCTAAATATAATGTCCTTTTTTAAAATCTAAAATCATTATGATGCATATAAGGAACGTTATGAAGCATTATGATGCAACCAACAGTTCATGTGTGACATTTATTTACTACGCGTAATATCTGCAATATGTATATTTGCGCGTGTGCATACGAATGAATCCTGAGATTCTACTTAAAATATATATATATATTCCATTCAACTAATGAATATGGTCATATAAAAACTCTTTCCAAATCATTTGTATTCTAGTTCTTTAGAAAAGCACCTGTTCTGGTCCTTTAAAGAACCCCAAAACACTTATCTTACAAAACATCAATATACATATACATATACATATATATTTATTTTACCTTAATTCCAGTATTGCAAGAAAAGAGCATAAATTCAAAGAATGAAAAATTCACATTTAAAGATGAAACCCACTTGACTGAGACCCTCAAGAAATGCTTTGAATAAATTACATAGATGTCGCGTGACAACTGACAAGCAAAGGAGAGGAGAAACAAGAGAAAAGCAGGGAAGAGTTTTAGATCTTTCCGAATTAAAATGCTGTTTATACATAATTGTCTGTACAGTTTATCGAAATTATTTAATTACACATGATTATTTCCTAAGAGTTATATAATAGGCTATATATGAGCACGGTCAGATATGAACTTATATTGCATGACAATTTTTTTAAAGCTATTTACATTTTTCTCGTTGACACTGTGAATTTCACAGGTCAGTAGAATAAAGAAAATCTGTATTATATCAAATATACGCATAATTTCTATCATGCCTCTCGTGACATTTTTAAAAGCAAAACAAAAACCATGTTTCACATAACTAATTCTCATATTTGATATACTAGTGTTACAATAATATGCAAGTCATTTAAAAAAATATTCTATGTCATATTGTATTTATATTTCTAATATTTATCAGTGGTTTCTGTAGAGTGATGGATGTGATTGCAGTCTCGCTGCTGTTGTTTTCAATCACACATTTTTTCTGTCATTTCGCTGTTCTTTATAAACAAACTCAGACTTTCATGGTGTCCATTTCCTTCCCAATTTACAATTACGCGTCTCGATATGCGCCTTCCGTTTTATGTTATGTTATTTCCTGTTTAAAAACGTGCATTTTCTTTGTCTAATTGCAGAATTAGAGATCAGAATTGCTGTTTTTTTTTTATTCTGAATCAGTATTGACAATAAAAACATAAATTGCTATTATAAAAAGACAATATGCACATTTAAGACTGCTTGAAGAGAAACAAAAATAAATTGAAAAACCCATTTACTGTTTTTTAAGGATTTTCTGGGTGAATGAGTGGATGAGCTGAATTTCTGAGGTGTAATGGTTTTTATACTGTACAAACGGTATTTTCTATTGCTCTACACCAACCCTACCCCTAAACCTACCCCTCACAGGAGACTTTCTGCATTTTTACTTTCTCAAAAAAACAAATTCTGTATGATTTTTAAGCTTTTGTACCCATGGGGACCTCAATTTAGGTCCCCACCGTGACATGAGTCCCCATGAGTCTGTGTGTATTCAGGTCGAAGTCCTCACCAGAATAGAAAAACAAGAACACACACACACACACACAGTATCACAGAGGATATTATTGATAGTGAGTCCAAAGCAGGGCAGGATGCAGTTTAAGTGAAGCAGGTTCTGGAATACTTGGAAAATCAGCAGATCTCCTCCATATCGCTCCCCGCTTCCTCAGCGGCTCCGTCTCCATCCGTATGGCACTGTGAACCTCAATGGGACGTTTTCCACGGCTGCTGCTGCTGGCCTGTGATCCCAATCACACGTCTGCTCCTCTACAATACAAGCATTATAGATAGCTGTCTGTTAGAACAGGGGTTTTCAAACCTGTCCTGGAGGACCCCCAGCACTGCACATTTGGTATGTCTCCCTTATCAGACACACCCAATTCAGGTCTTGTAGTCTCTACTAATGAGCTGATGAGTTATGTGCAGGGCTGGGGGTCCTCCAGGACAGGTTAGAAAATCCCTGTATTAGAATAATCAAAATAATAGAGGAGTCATTTTAGGATGATGAGTATAGAAATCTTTATTGTCCCTTTGCAGCACCACATAAAATTAATTCACAAGTACGTAGATATACAATAATACAAACATATATGACGCTGTTCTCACGTGGAAACTACTGATAAATGACAACAAAACAGAAGGCAGGAACTTGCTCGAGAATTTCCATTGTCTGCAGAAGCAATAAAATTCAAATCAATTTACAAAATAAACACAAGGCTTGCGTGGGCAGTTTGTAGGGTGTTGCTATGCAGTTGCTAGGGTGTTGTGTGAGTCAAGGCGTTGCTGTGCATTTGCTGAAGTGTTCTGAACGCCTTTTAGTGGCTGCTGTATAGTTGCCATAGTATTCTGGATTGTGGGCGGCTTCCAAGGAGTTGCTATGTGGTTGCAAAGATGTTTCAAGTGATTTTTAATTTGTTTCTATGCAGTTGCTAGGGTGTTGTGTGAGTCAAGGTGTTGCTATGCATATGCTAAAGTGTTCTTAATGGCTTTTAGTGTGCTGCTATCTGGTTGCCATAGTATTCTGGGTTTTGAGTGGTTGCCAAGGTGTTGCTATGCAGTTGCTATAATGTTCCAAGTCATTTTTAATGTGTTGTTATGCATTTGCTAAAGTGTTCTGAATGGCTTTTATTGTGCTGCTATGTGGTTGCCATACTATTCTGATTTCCGGGTGGTTGCCAAGGTGTTACTATGCAGTTGCAAATAATTAAAAAGTAATTTTAAAAAGTAATTTTTAATTTGTTGCTATGCAGTTGCTATGGTGTTTTGGGAGCCAGCTAAAGCATTTGCTAAAGTGTTCTGGGTGTTTTTATAAAGTTACCATATTATTCTTGGTGGTTGCCAGGGCATTGCTATGCAGTTGCTAAAACGTATGGAGTTATTATTAATATGTTGCTATGCAATTGCTAGGGTATTTTGGGAGGCAAGGCATTGCTATGCATTTGCTAAAGTGTTCTGAGTGTTTTTATAAAGTTGCCATAGTATTCTTGGTGGTTGCCAGGGCGTTGCTATGCAGGTGTTACAAGGTTCCAAATCATTTTTAATGTATTGCGATGCCGTTTTTAGGGTGTTGTGAGAGTTGAGGTGTTGATATGGAATTGCTAAAGTGTTCTGAATGGCATTTTGTGTGCTGCTACGTGGTTGCCATAGTATTGTGGTTTCTGGGTGGTTGCCAAGGCGTTGCTATGCAGTTGCAAAGATGTTTCAAGTAATTTTTAATGTGTTGCTATGAAGTTAGGGTGTTGTATGAGTCAAGGTGTTGCTATGGTAGTTCTTGGTGGTTGCCAGGGCGTTACTATGCAGTTGCCAAGATGTTCCAAGTCATTTTTAATGTGTTGCAAGGCAGTTTCTAGGGTGTTGCGGGAGTTGAGGTGTTGCTATGCAGTTGCTAAGTGTTTTTTATAATGTTGCCAGCATGTTCTGGGTGGTTGCTAGGTGGTTGCTGACAGGTAGTAACAGCACACCTCTCCTCAACAGGACACATGATTTAAGGAATCATTCATGTCTAGAGCACAAACTTAATATTAACACTTATTGTTGCTGTTTGATCGCATCACTATGAGCTCTAGTACTAGTGACTATAGATTTAGAAAACACCTCTAATAAAACAACAGGATAATTAAAACTATGGGCATTATCACAACAGATGTTTTCTTGTCACACATGCTTTTTATTTCTATCTCTTTATTGCTCGAAGAGATTTTTGTGAGGTATGTACGAGTTATCTGAACGTTCAGCTCAGAAGTGCCTGTGTAATTCGTTCAGGCCAGACCACTGTCAAAGCAAGTATGAACGAGGTGTTTGCTGATGAAGACGAGAGCAGATAGAGGGAGAGACAGGGAGAAACGAAAGATAGTATAGATGAGACTGACTGTGGGGGGAGGAGTGTGTGTTTGTTGGAGAACTGAACGCGTTGCAAGAATGGAAATCAAGATGGTGGAATGTGAACTAATAAATATTACCATTATTCTGTCTGCAAACCTAGAGTCCTGACTCTTTAGCATTTAAAGAGAGAGAAAAAAATACTTTACACAAGTATGATGTGAACTGTATGTTGTATTTACATGTATGCAGTTTTTAGTGTTCTGAGCAGTTTTTAGTGTGTTGCTATGCAGTTGTTAGGGTGTTCTAGACAGTTGCCAAGGTGTTGCTATGTGATTGGTTATGTGTTCTGAGCTTCAACCAGTTATCATGTTGCTATGCAGTTGCTATGGTGTTCTACAGAAGATAGGCTCTAAGGCATTGCTTTATGGTTGCCAGGGCGTTGCTATGCAGGTGCTAGGGTGTTGCTATGTGATTACTGGTATGTTCTAAATGGCATACATTATGTTGCTATGGTTTTCTACAGTAGGTAGGTTTTAGGTCATTGCTATATGGTTGCCAAGGGTGTTGCTATGCAGGTACTTGCATGTTCTTAGTGGGTTTTAGAGTGTTGCTATGCACTTGCTAGGGTGTTGCTATGTGATTGTTTATGTGTTCGGAGCAGCATATATTGTGTTGCTATGGCTAGGACATTGCCAGGGTGTTGCTATGCAGGTACTATGTGCTCTTAGTGGTTTTTAGTTTGTTGCTATGCAGTTGCTATGGTGTTCTAAGTAGGTGCTAGGGCATTGCTATGTGGTTGCCAAGGTGTTGCTATGAAGTTGCAACATTGCATTCAAGGTATATATTTGATTAAATTCATGCATGCATTGCTTGCTTCTTCTTAACCAGGGTTTCCTTTGATGCTATGAATATGTTGATATTTTAACTTTAACTAACTCACAGTATTTTGCAGTGTATTTGCATTCTAACACATTTTGCAATGAAATTGTGCATGA